CGTCGCCAGTGCAGGCACGGGGCTGTGAAAGCCACCCCGCAATCCAAAGTCGAGACCTGTCCTGCAAGGAGTTTTGGTGGCAGCCTTGTCTCGCGCTTCCGTGGCGTGGCAGCAAACGGGCTGTCACTGTGAGAGTTCTGAGAGGAGAGGCTTGTGGAGACATAGCAAATCTGTTTCTGCTGTGCAGGGCAGGACATCCCGGCCTCACGTTGCGCGCAACTTCTTCGGTGGACCCACCTCCACACCGGCCAGCTTCGACCCGGCAACGGTGCGCCCAGCTTTGGTGTTCAAGTGTTTGAGTGTTGAGAATGCCGATGTCAAGTCAAACCATGCCAAGTCCTGCAGCTCATTTACGCGTTCTGCTCCGCTGTTCATCTTGGCAGAACGGAGAGGTCATCATATGCCGAAGGCAACAGGTCACATGCCACACCACCGGCGAACAGGTCACACTTCAAACCCTAAGCGTTGCAGTCGGCCACTTTCAATTCCGATCCTTGCAGGAGCTGGGCGTCCAGGATCCTGTGGGTTTTTGGGACCCATTAGGACTTGCGGCTGACAAGGACAAGGCTCAGCAAAGGGGAAGTTGCAAAGTGCCACATGGTGCCCGTGAAACATGATGGTTTGAGAAGGCAGGCGTGCTGGATGCTCCGCATGTTCGCAATCCGTGCAGGCCACCTTCAATCGCCGCCGAGCAGTGGAGCTCAAGCATGGGCGCATCGCGATGTGCTCCAGCTGTGATTCATGCTGTTGTGTATGTTGGTTGGTGCGCTTGGAGCATCTAGGAGCGAAGTGCTGAGGTATGCGACCATTGGCTACATAGTCCCGGAGTACTTCCGCTGGCCAGGTGCGTGGATGCGAATGCACCGTGCAGAGACTGGTGATGTCTTGCTGTCTAGGCTTCCTGTCCCCCTCGTTGGGCTTGAAGTTCTCCGCGACTCAGCTTCATGGATGGATTGCAGCTTCGATGTAGCGGTGTAGCCGCTTCGACAGTGGTACCGGCTCGCGTCAGGACATGCCCAACGGCCTTGCAGCTCTTTCCAAGCTGCCCGTGCTGGGTGGCGCTCAAATCATCGCATTCGCGGGCCTCATCGAGACGACAGGCGTGGTATCTCCTCACACATCACGTCCACCACAAAGTTTCTAACTGAGTGACTAGTTGCGTGACATGTTTGCGTTGTCAGGCTTCTTTCAGGCGGCCTCGACCACCGATGGCCGTGGTCCGCGCGAGGGCCAGTTTTCCATGAAGGACTCTACCGAGAACCTTGGAGGCATGTATCATATACATATTAATATAGTGCTTCGTGCTTGCAGGGCCTTACAGGAGCATCGTGACTCCTTCGTGGCATTGCCGCGGCACTTTTTGTCGTTGTGTTGTTTTTTTCCCGAGGATTGGCGAGCCGGGAAATTATGGCATCGGCTTCCCGAACTTCCTTGGCAAGGTCGAGGTGCTACTGGGGTGCCATTGTGTTGTAATTGTGCTCGCACGTCACCACGCGCGGGCGTCATGATCGTGCTTTAGATTGTCACATGTGTTTCATGGAAGGATCCAGAGGCACGCAAAACTAAACTTGCGGCCGAGCTGGCGAACGGCCGCCTGGCGATGATGGCGATCATCGGCCGCTTGGCGTGATCTGTGGCTGCACAGGTTGACCTGCACATGAGTTCGAGACGTTGTCCAGGCATGTTCTTCCAAGACGGTCTTACAGGATCTGCCTGGGGAGACTGGAGCACATACACAGCGTCCCCCCTGAGGGCTTACGACCCCTCGGAGGAGGTCGGGGCCATGCCACCTCTGGGCTTCTTCGACCCCTTGAACTTTTCCAAGCCGGGCCGACCGCTGGGCGTGTACCTCCAGGACCTGAGCGATGAGGAGAAGTTCGCGTGGCTTCGCGCGGCGGAGCTGAAGAATGGCCGTGTGGCGATGATGGCGACTGTCGGAGCGGTGTTTCAGCACTTCGTGCGGCTGCCGGGCTTCGAGAGCATGCCTGCCGGCATCAAGGCCATCGAAAAGGCTCCGGGGAGCTACGGCTTCGTGATCCTTTGGATCTTGGCCGGCGTCCTCGAGCTTGGGCCGTGGAGGCAGGTTGCGGACAAGGAGCGGATCACAGATCTGAGGATGATTGATGATATCAGTGTCTGCCGCATGTGTGTGTAGAGTAGATATGTACGTATGTATGTATGTATGTATGTATGTATGCATGTATGTATGCATGGATGTATGTAGTACACGGATGACATACACATGACACACACACATGCGCAGAGACGCACGCATCAGGAGTGGAGGTCACGTTGGAAAACTCAGAAACGCATCAGGAGCCCGGCAACTTTGGAGATCCCATGAACTTCAACCAGTACACCAAGGAGATGCGAGAGCGGGAGATCAACAACGGCCGCTTCGCCATGTTTGCGGCCATCGGCATCATCGCCGCCGAAATGTACACAGGCAAGGATGCCGTCGAGCAGTGGGGATGAGCAGATGAGCGGTCTGCTTTTCAAATCTAGGTCCAAATAATGTTTGTTATGGCGTTCAGCTGAACCTGCTGAGCCCAGTGAACCCGCGTATGAGCCGCAGGGAGTCATCGATTTGCTGGCCTTTGGCGAAGCTAGAAGTGCCCGCTTTAGTG